AAATGACAAATAAATATTAAATTTTGGAATAATTGAATATAATATGTTTGTTTTATAATATAATATTTTGAAAAAGTTTTTTTAACCTAAATTATAGATAAATTTTATCATTATTTTTATATATGCCTTCTACAAGGAATTCTTATCACTAAAGTCTTGATTTATGTAGTTAGTGTTATAATATTAATCAACCATTTATTATTTTGAAAATATTTATTAATAGTGCTTTTTTTTTATTTACTTTTTGTCTGGTTTTTATTATTTGAATTAATTTTGTGTAAACTGAATGATTAAAATTGATTGGTGGAATCTTTCTCTTTTTCTATTTTTTTGAATTTGATATTTAGAAGGATTTTCGCTCTAAAATCAAAATTTAAAAGGGAAGAAGCTATTGAAATTTTATTCTTTATATTTTCCTTTATTCATCTTACCTTTAAAAAATATAAAAAAAGTTTTTTAAATTTTGTAAAATATCACCACCCTCCAAGTAAAATACTTGAAAAGGCAGAAAAAAATGGCGTAATAGGTTTTTTTTACCTATTGGCCCTAAAATGCTCCGATTGTATATTCTCTGGCATTTAGCTATATATGTTTTAAATGCAAGTATTAAGATTAAATAATTAATTTTTAATTAATTTTTCTGTTATATCTCTTCTTAAGAGCAAATTTTTTGATAATTAATTATTATATTTTATTTGTTCTTTTTACCCATTTATAATTAATAAAATTTCATAATTAACTATTCAATATTTTTGAAAAAAATAAATGATATAATAGATTAAATATTACACAGAATTAGAAGAAGTAATTATTTATTTTTTTATTAATATCCTTTAAATTTATTTTAAATAAAAAAAAAGTTTTTAAACTCTTCACATTTATCTCATTAGGTGCTCCATATTAATCTCAAGTATATTTTATTAAGAAATATAATTTTTATTATTATTAATATTTTTATATATTTAACTTTCAATTTATTTAAACCAATAATTTTTCTTGTAGAAATTATCATCATTACTCATTGATTTTTATTAAAGCAAACATTTTTTAGCTACTTTAACTTAATTTTAATTTCAATTTTTAATTATTATTATTTTATATTTTTTCTTCATTTTTTGCTATTGAAACTTACGCTTAATAAAACAATTTATTTGTTTTGGATTGTAATATTTTAATTATAAAAGTTATTTTAAAACAATAAGGCTCTTTTAATTTATTTGATTTATTTTCCTTTTTCTTTTTTGTCTTTGTTTTTGTTGATTTAACTCATAATTTTATTTTCAACTTTTTGCTTTTAATATTAATTAATCTTATTATCATATTCTTTCTTCATTTTTTCCTTCTAATTACTAATTTAATTATACTGTAAGTTTTGAAAATTTTTAGGTTATTAATATTGATTTAAAACTACCATAAAAATTTTAGGGGTTAATAAATTGACATTTTTAGGGTTAATCCAAAAAATTTTTTCCATTCAATTTACAATGAAAAGAATATTTTTTGATTAAAACTCTGTGAAAATTTCTTTAAATTCAATTAAATTCAACATTTTATTTTTCTTAAATTAACCCCTCCACCCCATTAAATTCAGTGAAAAAAATGGGGGGTGAATACTTTTTTTTTAATTTTTCTTAATTTTGGGTCTAATATAATTTGGGGTGGATTAATGAGAACTTACAGTATATTTTTTCTTCAACATTTAATAAGAGACAGATAAATTGGCGATGAAGGTGCATCAGGCCTAGGTTCTGGTTTAGGAAATTGCATTAATCTCTCAAATTTAACACTTGATCTTGAGTAAAAACAGTTTATTTATTTTTGATTGTGATATTTTTAATTATAAAAATTAATTTAAAGCAACAAAGCTCTTTTTTCTTTTTCTTTTTATTGTGTTTTCTTTTTTTTCTGTTCTTTCTTTATTAATTTAACTCATCATTTTATTTTCAACTTTTCCTTTTATTATTAATTAATCTATCTGATTCTTTCATATTTTTTCTTCATTTTTTCATTCTAATTTACTACTAAATTATGTATTTTTTCTTCAATATTTAAAAAGTGGCAATAAAATTGGTGCAATGGGTGTATCAGGCTTATGTTCTGCTTTAGCAAATTGCATTAATCTCTCAAATTTGACACTTGATCTTGGGTAAAAACAGTTTATTTGTTATTGATTGTGATATTTTTAATTATAAAAACTAATTTAAAACAATAAATATCTTTTTTCTTTTTCTTTTTGTTTTGTTTTGTTTGCTTTTTTTTGTGTTCTTTCTTTGTTAATTTAACTCATAATTTTATTTTCAACTTTTCTTTTTATTATTAATTAATCTACCTTATTATTACATATTTTTTCCTTCTAATTTACTATTTAATTATAATTTTTTTCTTCAATATTTAAAAAGGTTTAATAAAATTGGTGATGAAGGTATAACAGGCTTAGGTTCTGCTTTTGTAAAATGCATTAATCTCTCAAATTTTACACTTAAACTTAAGTAAAAACAGTTTATTTACTATTGGTTGTGATATTTTTAATTAGAAAAACTAATTTAAAACAATAAAGCTCTTTTTTCTTTTTCTTTTTATTGTGTTCTTTCTTTGTTAATTTAACTCATAATTTTATTTTCAACTTTTCTTTTTATTATTAATTAATCTATCTTTTATTATTTCATATTTTTTCCTTCTAATTAACTATTTAATTATTAATTTTTTACTCAATATTTAAAAAGTTCTAATTAAATTGGTGCAATGGGTGCATCAGGCTTAGGTTCTGCTTTTGCAAATTGCATTAATCTCTCAAACTTGACTCTTAGACTTTAGTAATAACTGTTTATTTATTTTGGATTGTGATATTTTTAATAATAAAAACTAATTTAAAACAATAAATATCTTTTTTCTTTTCTTTTTATTGTGTTTTCTTTTTTTTCTGTTCTTTCTTTGTTAATTTAACTCGTAATTTTATTTTCAACTTTACTTTTTATTATTAATTAATCTATCTTATTATTTCATATTTTTTCCTTCTAATTTACTATTTAATTATAAATTTTTTACTCAATATTAAAAAAGGTTTAATAAAATTGGCGATGAAGGTACAACAGACTTAGGTTCTGGATTAGCAAAATGCATTAATCTCTCAAATTTGACACTTGATCTTGGGTAAAAATTATTTATTTATTTTGGATTGTGATATTTTTAATTATGAAAACTAATTTAAAACAATATATATCTTTTTTTTGCTTGCTCTTTTTTGTGTTCTTTCTTTGTTAATTTAACTCATAATTTTATTTTAAACTTTTCTTTTTATTATTAATTAATCTACCTTATTATTTCATATTTTTTCCTTCTAATTTACTATTTAATTATTAATTTTTTACTCAATATTAAAAAGTGGTAATGAAATTGGTGATGAAGGTGCATCAGGCTTAGGTTCTGGTTTAGTAAAATGCATTAATCTCTCAAATTTGACACTTAACCTTGAGTAAAAATAATTTATTTATTTTTGATTATAATATTTTTAATTATGAAAACTAATTTAAAACAATAAATATCTTTTTTCTTTTTCTTTTTATTTTGCTTGCTTTTTTTTGTTTTCTTTCTTTGTTAATTTAACTCATAATTTTATTTTCAACTTCTCATTTTATTATAAATTAATCTATCTTATTATTTCATATTTCTTCTTCATATTTTCCTTCTAATTAACTATTTAATGATATATTTTTTCTTCAATATTTAATAAGTTAGAATTAAATTGGTGATGAAGGTGTATCAGGCTTAGGTTCTGGTTTAGTAAAATGCATTAATCTCTCAAATTTGACACTTAACCTTAAGTAAAAATAATTTATTTATTTTTGATTATGATATTTTTAATTATGAAAATTAATTTAAAACAATAAATATCTTTTTTCTTTTTATTTTGCTTGCTTTTTTTTTCTTTCTTTCTTTGTTAATTTAACTCATATCTTATTTTCAAATTTTCCTTTTAAAAATAATTAATTTATTTTGTTATTTTAAATTTTTAAAATAATTTTTATTATTCTACTAAATATTTATTTCCTACTACACTACTACAGAAATAATTATCAGAGAATAGCAATATTTAAAAATATATTTTTTCTTCAACATTTAAAAAGAAAAAACTAAATTGGTGAAATGGGTCCATCAAGCTTATGTTCTGGATTAGCAAATTGCATTAATCTCTCAAATTTGACTCTTGAACTTTAGTAAAAACTGATTATTTATTTTGGATTGTGATATTTTTAATGAAAAAACTAATTAAAAACAATAAAGCTCTTTTTACTTTTTCATTTTATTTTGCTTGCATTTTTTTGTTCATTTTTTATTAATTTAACTTATCATTTTATTTTCAACTTTTCCTTTTACTATTAATTAATCTATCTTATTACTTTATATTTTTTGTTCATTTTTTCATTCTAATTAACTATTTAAATATATTTTCTCTTCAATACTTAAAAAGTGACAATTAAATTTGTGATGAAGGTGCATCAGGTTTAGGTTCTGCTTTAGTAAATTGCATTAATCTCTCAAATTTGACACTTGATCTTGAGTAAAAACAAACTGTTTATTTATTTTTGATAGTGATATTTTTTTTATAAAAACCAATTAAAAACAATAAAACTCTTTTTTCTTTTTCATTTTATATTGCTTGCTTTTTTTTGTTCTTTCTTTGTTAATTTAGCTCATCATTTTATTTTCAAATTTTCGTTTTAATATTAATTAATCTTACTATCATATTTTTTCTGCATTTTTTCCTTCTAATTCATTATTTTATTATATATTTTTTCTTCAACATTTAAAAAGATTAAATTAAATTGGTGCAATGGGTGCATCAGGATTAGGCTCTGCTTTAGCAAAGTGCATTAATCTCTCAAACTTGACACTTAGTCTTGAGTAAAAAGAGTTTATTAATTTTTGATTGTAATATTTTTAATTATAAAAACTAATTTAAAAAAATAAAACTCTTTTTTCATTTTCTTTTTATTCTGCTTGCTTTTTTTTGTTAACTTTTTGTTAATTTATTAATTCATTATTTTATTTTCAACTTTTCCTTTTATTATTAATTATTCTTATTATTTCTTCATTTTTTCCTTTTAATTTACTGTTGAATAAATTTTTTCTTCATAAATAAAAAGTTAGAATGAAATTGGCAATGAAGGTGCATCTGGCTTAGGTTCTGGATTAGCAAATTGCATAAATATCTCAAATTTGAGGCTTAGAATTAGGTAAAAACAGTTTATTTAATTTGGATTTTGATATTTTTAGTTATAAAAACTAATTAAAAACAATGAAGCTCTTTTTTATCTTTCTTTTTATTGTGCAAGCTTTTTTTTTGTTCTTTCATTGTTAATTTAACTCATAATTTTATTTTCAATATTTTTTTCTTGTAGTTAGCTATTTAATTATAAATTTCTTCCTCAATATTAAAAAAGGTTGAATAAAATTGGTGTTAAAGGTGCATCAGGCTTAGGTTTTGGATTAGCAAAATGCAATAATCTCTCAAATTTGATACTTGATCTTAGGTAAAAACAGTTTATTTATTTTTGATTGTGATATTTTGAATTATAAAAAGTAATTAAAAACAATAAATAAAGCTCTTTTTTCTTTTTGTTTTTATTGCTCATGCTTTTCTTTTGTTCTTTCTTTATGAATTTAACTCATTATTTTATTTCCAACTTTTGTTTTTATTATTAATATTTTTTTCTTATAATTTACAATTTAATTATATATTTTTTCTTCAATATTTAAAAAGTCGTAATTTAATTGGTGGTGAAGGTGCATCAGGCTTAGGTTCTAGTTTAGGAAATTGCATTAATCTCTCAAATTTGATACTTGACCTCAAGTAAAAACAGTTTATTTATTTTTTATTGTTTTATTTTTAATTATAAAAACTAATTTAAAACAAGAAGCTCTTTTTTTTTCTTTTTATCAGGCTCGCTTTTTTTTGTTCTTCCTATGTTAATTTAACTCATCATTTTAATTTCAACTTTTTTTTTATTATTAATTAATCTTATTATTTCATATTTCTCTTCATTTTTTCCTTCAAATTAACTAATTAATTATATATTTTTTCTTCAATATTTAAAAAGTGACAATTAAATTGGTGATTAAGATACACCAGGCTTAGGTTCTGGTTTAGCAAATTGCGCTAATCTTTCAAATTTGACACTTTAACTTGAGTAAAAACAATTTATTTATTTTGGATTGTTCTATTTTTAATTATAAAAATTAATTTGAAATAATAAAGCTCTTTTTTCTTTTTCTGTTTATTGTGCTTGCTTTTTTTATGTATTTATTTGTTAATTTAACTCCTCATTTTATTTTCGACTTTTCATTTTATTATTAATTAATCTATCTTATTATTTCATATTTTTTCCTTCTAATTTACTATTTAATGATATATTTTTTCTTCAATATTTAAAAAGTAGTAATTTAATTGGTGATGAAGGCGCTTCAGGCTTAGGTTCTGGATTATCAAAGTGCATTAATCTCTAAAATTTTACACTTAGCCTTAGGTAAAAACAGTTTATTTATTTTAGATTGTGATATTTTAAATAATAATAATTAATTTAAAACAATGAAGCTCTTTTTTCTTTTTCTTTTTATTGCGCTTGCTTTTTCTTCTTTTTTTTTTGTTAACTTAACTCATCATTTTATTTTCAACTTTTCCTTTTACTATTAATTAACCTTATTATTTCATATTTTTTCTTCATTTTTTCCTTCTAATTAATTATTTAAATTTTATCTTCAATATTTTAAAAGATATAATTAAATTGGTGCAATGGGTCCTTCAGGCTTAGGTTTTGGTTTAGGAAATTGCATTAATCTCTCAAATTTGACACTTAGACTTAAGTAAAAATAGTTTATTTATTTTGCATTGTGGTATTTTTAATTATAAAAACTAATTAAAACACAATAAAGATATTTTTTCTTTTTCTTTTTATTGTGCTTACTTTTTTTTGTTTCTTTCTTCTTTTAACTCATCATTTTATTTTGATCTTTTGCTTTTATTAGTAATTAATTAATCTCATTATTTCATATTTTTTCTCCAATATTTTAAAAGTTACAATTAAATTGGCGATGAAGGTGCATCAGGCTTAGGTTCTAGTTTAGTAAATTGCATTAATCTCTCGAATTTGAAACTTGATCTTGAGTAAAAACTGTTTTTTTATTTTTGATTGTGATATTTTTAATTTTTAAAACTAATTAAAAACAATAAAGCACTTTTTTCTTTTTCTTTTTATTATGCTCGCCTTTTTTTTGTTCTTTCTTTGTTAATTAAACTCTCAACTTTTTCCTCTTATTATTAATTAATCTATCTATCTTATTATTTCTTATTTTTCTTCATGTTTTCCTTCTAATTAACTATTTAAATATATCTTTTTTCTTCAATATTTAAAAAGTTACAGTTATATTGGTGCAATTGGTGCATCAGGCTTAGGTTCTGGTTTAGGAAATTGCATTAATCTCTCAAATTTGACACTTCATCTTGAGTAAAAACAATTTATTAATTTTTGATTGTGATATTTTTAATTATAAAAACTAATTTAAATAATAAAGCTCTTTTTTCTTTTTCTTTTTATTGTGCTCACTTTTTTTTTGTTCTTTCTTTGCTAATTTAACTCATTATTATATTTTCAACTTTTCTTTTTATTATTAATTAATCTATCTTAATATTTCATATTTTTTCCTTTTAATTTACTTTTTAATTATGTATTTTTTCTTCAATATTTAATAAGGTTAAATAAAATTGGTAATGAAGGGGTATCAAGCTTATGTTCTGGATTAGCAAATTGCATTAATCTCTCAAATTTGACTCTTAGACTTTAGTAATAACAGTTTATTTATTTTGGATTGTGATATTTTTAATTATAAAAACTAATTTAAAATAATAAAGTTCTTTTTTCTTTTTCTTTTGCTTGCTTTTTTTTGCTCTTTCTTTGTTAATTTAACTCATCATTTTATTTTCACTCTTTAAATTTATTATTGATTAATCTTATTATTTAATATACTTTTATTTCATTTTTTCGTTCTAATTAACTTTAGAATTATTTATTTTTTCTTAAACATTTAAAAAGTAACAATTAAATTGATGGCGAAGGTGCAGCAGGCTTAGGTTCTGGATTAGCAAATTGCATTAATCTCTCAAATTTGACACTTAGCATTTGGTAAAAACATTTTATTAGTTTTTGATTGTGATATTTTTAATTATAAAAACTAATTTAAAATCTTTTGCTTGCTTTTTTTTGTTCTTTCTTAGTTAATTTAATTAATCTTTTTTTTTTTAAATTTTACTTTTGTTATTTCATATTTTTCCATCTAATTAACTATTTAATTATATTTTTTTTCTTCAATTTTTAAAAAGTGGCAATAGAATTGGTGCAATTGGTGCATCAGGCTTAGGTTCTGGTTTAGCAAATTGCATTTATCTCAAAAATTTGACACTTGATTTAAGGTAAAAACAGTTTATTTGTTTTGGATATTGATATTTTTAACTATTCAAATGAATATAAAGCAAAAAAGTTGCTTGAATTTATTTGATAGCTTTTATTTGATTAATTTTTTTATCTTTTTTATTCCAGTAATGTGATTTTGTTAATTAATTTAAGAAATAATTTTTAATTTAATAGTTTATTCTATTTGATATTTATTTAAAATTTACACAAATTTATTTTAAAAGATATACCTAATTGAATGAATCATAAGTATTCAATTTAATAAACAAGTGCCATAAATCAAAAAGATTAGTTGTCTGTAAATTCTGATGATAATCAAGTGGCTAAAATAGGATGAACAAATATTAAATGTTTGAATAATTGAATATTTTTTTTTTAATTTATTGGAAAAGTTTTTTTAACTTAAAATATAAATAGATAAATAAATAAATAGATAGATAGATAACTTTTATTATTGTTTTTATATTTATAAGTATTATATTTTTGTAAGTCAATAAAGAATTTATTAAAAATAAAAAATTTAAAAATTAAATTTACTTAAATAAATAAATTAATTGCTCTTAATCCAACTCTCAGATTTCTCCAAAAATGATCAAATCATTTGAAACTTTTAGTGTTATATAAATGCCAAGCTTTTTTTTGCCAGTTATATATTAATCTTAAATACTATCCTTCAATCATATTTCTATTTATTTTTTATTTATCTTGATTAATTAGATACCATGATTAAAAACTTGAAAAAGAATCAAATTTTCTTATTTCTGATTGTAAAAAGACTAAATAACTAAAAAAAATTTAAGAAAAAAATACTTTAATTAAAATACTTAATTAACGGGCATTTACAGTATTTCTTTTTTTTCAAATTTTTATGAAAGTTAGATATGCTTTAAAAATGACCATTGATTTGAAATATCTATTTTTTCATATCTTTATCATCTTTTATATATATTAAATTTTATATTAACACAAATAAGTATTATTTATTTTAAAATCAGTTCAGTTAATTTTTTCAAAAATATTGTAAAATAATAAAAATTAAATATTACTTGTATGGTACTGATTGATATATTTAAAATTAGTTATTATATAATTTAAGTAAAATGATAAAGCATATGCATAAATAAATTTATTAATTTAATATTTTTTGTTTTGTGATGTTTTATTTACTGATTGAGTTTAATTAAAAAGAAAATCTAACCAGTAAATAAAAAGAGCAAAATAATAATCTGATAACTTCTTATCCTAATTAATTTTGTTAGCTATTTTATTTAATTTTAAAGACCCAAATAAAACATAAGAAAAATATATAATAAAATATTTTTAATGTTTTTTAAGTAGTTTATTTCTTAATATAAAGATAAATTCTATGCTTTTATCCTAAGATAATTTAATATCCATTAATTATTTCCTACCTATAGTTTAAAAAATTAGATAAAGGTCTTAATTAAAAATTGTTTAATTTTTTAGAGTAAGAATCTAATAAATTTTGGTTGATTTGTAAAAAGCAAAAAATGTTTAAATTGAAATGGTTGATATATTTAATTAGAATTCAAACAAAATCAAATTATATTATTTTAGATTTTTACATGATATGTATGTATGTATCACTTATCAAATAAGAAACAGCCTTTTATAAAAAAATATTTATATTATTCTGATAAGAAAAACATTAACTAAAAACTTTTGTTTGTGATCATATTAAATAATCAATACATAAATATATAAATTAAATATATTTTAAAGCTTGATATTGCACTTATTCACATTAAAATATTTTTGATTTAGATTTTGTTTAATAAAAATTTAAAAATCAAATTAAAAATTCCTATAAATATTAAATGAAAGTTTTTTGAACATAAAATTAAGGTAAAAATGAGAAATTTAGATTAAAAAATGTTTATTTATTGATTTAATTATCGAATTGACACCATATAATTATTATTTATTAGCTAATTTTTTTGAGTTATTTATTATAAAGCTATACAAGTAAAAAAAATATAGTTTATAGTTAATGAAGCGACTGATAACTTACGCTATTTGAAGTATAAGTATATTAACTTATTTTAAATTTCTAATCAATATTATTTTTAAATAATTAAGCAGTAAATAAATTGGCTGTTGTTGCTTTTGGGTAATTTCTTATTATTTTTAGATAATAATTTTATTATTTTTTTATATTGAGAAAAGAGACGCTTAAAATTTAATTAAATGGCTAACTTTTTCAGTCTTGAATTTTACGATTTATAAATTTAAAAAGTATGATTGATCTTACTTAAAAATATAATGGATAATTAGAAAATAAAATATCGTCCTTTAGTATTTAAGACTGAAACGATAATCAATCATATTTAGAAAAAAATATTATAAATTCAAAAATAGTCTAATTTAGTTTGTGTTTTAAAATAAAAAAAATTTTGTTTGCATTTAAATTTTGTAAAATTTAATTAACAAACAAATCAGGTTCTTTTTAATTATTTAACTCTTCAAAGGTTTTGTGTAAATTAAATAATAGTAGGCAGTGAACATTAATTATTTAAGTATATTGATGAAAATGTATATTTCATAATTTTTCAAATACGATGTAAATTATTGATATTAAATTTTGATTATAAATATTTTCAAGCCATATTTTGATAGTGAATCAATCCTTCAAAAATTTTTGCACTTTAAAAAGGTGTAAAATAAAATTTATAAACGATTCATTAATCATCTAAGAATAAAAACAATAGATTAAAACAAATAAATGAAATTTTACCAACCTGAAGATTTTAGATTCCAAAATATGTTTCAACAGGTGATTGAACATAAAGGAAGATTAAGAAAAGAAGCTTTAAGAAAATATAAAAATCAAAAGCGTCGTGAAAAGGCCTTTGGAAAAATGTTATTCCAAACTAAATTTACTAGCTTGTTTTAGATTTAAATAATTACTGCTTTTAATAATTTACCTTTTAGCAAAAATTTCAGTTGAGCTTAGTTAAAATGTATATCTAACTAATATATGCTTAATAATAGTGTTTAAATGTAAATAGTGGATGGTTGTGCGTGTGCGTTTTTTTTATATAATTCATCTAGTTTTAATAATATAAAAAGAAATTATAAACCTCTTAACTTAATTAATTAAATAGTAATTAAAAAATTAGCTAAATCTAAAAAAAATGAGCTAAGACAGTGCTAAAGAAAATAATGTTCAAAAATAAAATATTTCTCTTTGCAAAATGAAAAATACGAAAGAATTAACTAAAAACTATAGAGAAAATAATAAATTTTAAAGCATTTATAATACAACCAATGCCAAAAATACCTTATTCTCATCAAATAATTTTGAAAACTTCAAATGCTTATCTCCTAAGCTTGATTAATTATTTAACTAGCAAAAAACCGATTTCTAAGAAGAGATCTAAGAAATAAATAAAGGCGCGTGCCTAAGCACTTATAAAGATTTCCATGGGAAGGGTAAAAATAAAAAATTAAAAGTGCTTTTGTAATTATTTTTCTTAAAAAAGAGGATTTAAATGCTGACATTCAAGATTATGATTCTTAATAGACTATAAAGCCTATAAACAGCTTTATTGTGAAAAGCTTTTCATAAAATTTAGAAGATGGTCAGGACGATATAAATATCTAATCAATTTTTACTTCTAATAATCCTGATTCACTCTAAATGAGAGGTAAGTAATTCAATAGTACCATGAATTTTAAGATTTCTTTTATCTAGTTAATAAACATTATGACATATAAGTAAATTATTCTCAAATCTAAAAATCAGAAGCATCAACATCAACAGAGACATCTGTTAGTTAATCAAGTAATTAATTCATTAATAATTGATTTTATTGTAATTATATAAAAATATATAGAGAGCTTTTTTGGTGAAGATTAAGATGAAAGAGAAAACAGTTTAAAAATCTCAACTTAATAAAAAGTTGTGAAATATTAATTGAGTGGCCTAAAAAATTCTCTACATAAAACGGTTATCTTCTAAGATCTCCCCTAGAAATGTATGTTTTTTTTCATTTTAAAAAACAAATAAATAAATAATATTTTTTTACTTACTTATGAAAATGAATTTATTTCATTTTTACTTTATTCATTAATATTTAATCAATAACAATTTTTTAAAATGATCAAATCTACTTTTTTAAAGAAGAAAATCTGATATATTTTTTATTAAAAAAGAATCTGCCAGCGCCAATTAATTTTTTTAAGATAGATCTAAAAAACCAAGTAAATCAATATTGAAAAAATTTAGAACGTTTGAAATAAACTCAGGTAAAAAATTAATATAAGACTAAAATAAATTATCAAATTTTATTAGAATAATAAAGGGATGACTTAGATGTATTACAAGCATTCTAATCAAACATGGACTTTTGTAATATTAAAAAAGAAGAGTTTATCTAAAAATTAATTTAAAATGAAGCATATAAATCAAAATATTTTTTCAGTGAGTTTGCAACAAAAATCTATAACTCGGGGGAAAAGAAAAAAAAGATAATTTTCATGACGCATGATTCCTTTTATGTACTCTAAGATCTCTTTAGCTAAAATAAAATATAAAAATTTTATATTTCAGAAATTAATAAAATAAAAATTCATTCTGAATAAACAAATATATGCACTATTGTTCTAAAATAGAAGCTTAAGCTAAATTTATAAATTTTACACTTGAAAGAATTTCAACAATTCATTCAAAGCGTGTTTAAATGCTTCTTAAATTCGTCTATATTAATAATCTAATAAAAAAAGCAATAACTAATCGAAGAATATACCAAAATTAATGCAAATAATAATAAAAAATCATAAATAGAGTCGTTCTTGGATAGCTAAAAGAAAGAATTTTACATAAATATTTAAATAATATCAAGTGTTAATTAATAAAAAGATTTTAAAATATTAGGATTACTTTAATTCCTTTCAAATAGTATTTGTATTACAGGATTAGAGAAATTTAAAGACTTAAATAGACTCTAATAAGTAGAGTTATTGCATAAAGACTTATAAAAAAGAAGCTTTCTCTTTAAATCATTAAGAAACGCAGACCAACAGTTTCTAATAAAACTATTAAATGATGAAGAGTTTCCATAATTTGTATAATAAATATAAAATGCAGTAAGCTAAGCTAAATGAATGATAAATACTATACACAAATAATGGTCATTATTATGACTATTATATAACTATTTTATCAAATAATTAAAAATAAATTTTAAAATTATATATACTAATCAATCCTCTTAGTTTTTATATTGTTTTCTTTCTTATTACTAAGTGTAAAATCACTATTCAATAAAATTCATAAATTAAAATATATATAAAGAGTATAAAAAGTGTTCAAATACAATTTTCAATATTTTTTCAAAATTTTTAGGGCTTTTATGGAGAGCTAAAAGCTTTTTTTAAGAATAACTTATTACTATGACACCCTACATAAATTTCAACTTTAAAAATATTTAATAAGCACATGATTATAAATTAATCTACCTGATATGAATTTAAGATATCCTACAATCTCTTTAGAAGATAAACGACTACATAATTCAGAAGTTCAAAAATCACACATTAAATTATTTCTATTTTAATTAATTCAAATTTTAACATTTAAGTAGAAAAAATAGGATATTTATATTAAATTAAATTAATTAAAATTTAGATTGAGTTTTTTCATTTCGAAATTTACTATTCAATTTATTAAATAAATAAATAAATAAATAAATACAATCAGATGAAAGATAATTTTAACTTTTTTGTTTTTGAATTTTAAGTTTATATATGATAAAAAATAAATATAAATTAAATGAGCTTAACTCAAAATCTAATTTTGTAAGTTCAGCACAATAAAATATTCCTTAAGCTAATAAAAAACTTCAATTTAATTCCAGCTAAATTTTTGAAATAAATAAATAATTAGTATGGATTATTCACATTTTAACTAATAAGTGATGGAATTTGCTCTATTTATTAATATTAACTTCCTATTAAAATGAATTCTTTAATTATTTTAATCCCAAATACCTTTTTTGAATAATTTATATAAAAAAACTCTTAGTTTTAATGTTTTAATTGTAAATATTAAATTTGTAGACAAATTTTATAATATAAAATATTTAATTATCAAATAGTAATTTTATTAATATTGATACTTTCAATTATAAAGAATATTCAAAGATTTATGTAATTTTATATCAAAATAATTAATTATATTTGAGAATAAAAAACATTTATAATTTTTAAATAAATTTGATTTTGAGTAAGAAAGAAAGTATTAATAATAATTAAAAAAATTGGGGTCGTCCGAGAATCGAACCCGGGACCTCTCGTACCCTAAACGAGAATCATGCCACTAGACCAACAACCCTTAATCAATAGTATAAGCT